CGTGGTGTTTTTCTCTGGGTCCCGTCTTAAAACACAGAGGAGGGAGGAATCGATCTCTTCTACTGCGCGTCGTCCCGTTAGCGTTAACGAGAGCGCGTGCGGGGAGTAAGAGTTACAGAACTGGCTCCTCGACTCGATTGTGTTTGGCTGATTATTAGCTGATTACTTTGAGGGAAATTAATTCCCCACTCTCTGCTGGCTGGGGTTTCGGGGGGGGGGACACCGGGGTCCTGCTGGTCCCAGGCTGGGACGGATCCCACTTAATGCTTGGGCTTTTAAATTTATTAAATTTCATATTTTCAAGGGCTTTTGCCGGGAACAGGAGAAAAAGGCCTTTTTAAATGGGGGACAGGGTGGGTGTCACGGCGCTGCCCCTTTATCCCCCCCCAGCCCCAATAACTGAGTTAAACTCCCACCCAGCCCAGGAAATGGGGCAGCTTTGGTGGATTTGGAGCAGATCTGGGATTCTGCATCCCCATCGCCTCCCCGGTGTCCCCATCTCCCCACTCAGGCTCTGGGACCTGGGTACCAGTGATGGAGGGGGGCTCCTGTCACCCCCCCGGCGTGGGGGACAGCCGGCAGAACCCCCTGGCTGGGCAGGGTGTAAATCAGTGCCCAAAACCCCCCCAAAAACAGTGACGCCCCCGGGGTCTGACGAGGTAACGAGCCTGGACCGACGCTCCTCGTGCTTCTCTGGGTCGTCGCCAGGACCAAGACTCAGACAAGATGTGATAATGGTTAAAAATCTGCTTTTTTTAAAAGGGGCCACCATCCCAGGGGAGCGACCGGGCTCTTTCCACCCGGGGAAGGTCCCCAAGGTCCCCAGGAAAACCCTCTTTGTGGGTCGGGGGGACGGGTGCTGCCCCTGCACGGCGTTTCCCTGAGTTTCCCTTTTCCAGGAGACAATTCATCTCCACGAATTATCCCTTTTTTTATTTTTTTTTTAAATTGTTCTCTGCAGCAAAGGCTCCGTTTCCGACCCCATCGACTGCCAATTAGAGGCAGCTCTGAAGAGCCAAACTCCCCGTTTTACTAAAACGGGGGCTCTCGTTTTGTTTCTTAAACAGCCGCCGTAATTGACAAATAAAAGCTCGTTTGAATGTATAAAACCTTCATTAGCTCCGCGGGGGGCCGCGCAGGCAAAATATCAGGCTGATTTCCCTCTTCCCTTGGCATGGTCCTCGGGGGGGCTGCTGGGGGGGCTGTCGTGGCCGCCCCCGGTGCCCCCAACCCCGAAAAATTCCTAGGGATAAAACGGAGCTGAGGGATTTGGCCTTTGGGGGTTGGGGCCCCCCAAAATTCACCACCGCCGGGACCGCTGCCGGCCTTGGAGCTCCCCAGGACAGCCCCGTGGGGGTGGGAAGGGTTGGTGGGGTTGGTGGGTGGTGAATTTGGTGGTGAATTTGGTGGTGAATTCGGTGGTGACGGTGTTAAGAGGGGTGAGAAGCCAGGGGGTGGTTTTAGGGCAGGAGGAGAATCCGAGCAGCTTCGGGAGGCTTCGCTCTGACTGGGCTCTGCTTTCTCTTTCAGCAAAGTACCTTAAAGATGGACATAGAAGACTGTAATGGACGATCTTACATATCTGGTAGGTCTCCTCTTGATTTTTTTGCCTTTTGGGGGTGTTTCCAGGGGCTCAGTCTCACCCCCGGGGGTGTCAGCTGCCCCCTGCTCGGTGGCTGTGCCCGAGGCTCTGCTGCTGTGGGGTTCAGAACACCAGCGTGTTTCCTTGAGTGTCAGAAAAGCCTTAAAACCCAGAATAACCAGCTGATTCAAATTGGGGGTGCGTGGGTTGAGCCTCGGGGGCTTACGATGGAGTTTTTTTTCGCCCCCTGGGCTGTCGGGTGCTCACGGGGGGGGGAATTCCAAGCCCTTGCTGGAAGGAAAAGGTATTTCCAGTGACGGCTGTGCAATCCTGGTGCTGGGAGGTCCTGGGGAGGTTGGTTGTTCCTTGGGGGCTCCTGCCCGAAGGGGAAGGGGTGCGTTAGTCCCGGTTTTCAGCCTGGAGAAGAGGAGGCTGAGGGGAGACCTTATTGCTCTCTCCAACTCCCTGAAAGGAGGGGGTAGAGAGATGGGGGTCGGTCTCTTTTCTCAAGTCCCAGGCGACAGGACGAGAGGAAATGGCCTCAAGTTGCACCAGGGGAGGTTCAGGCTGGATATTAGGAAAAGTTTTTTCCCTGAAAGGGTTCTCAGCCCTTGGAATGGGCTGCCCAGGGAGGGGGTTGAGGCCCCATCCCTGGAGGTGTTCAAAAGCCGGGTTGATGTGGTGCTGGGAGGTCTGGTTTAGTGATGATGCTCCTTGTTTGTTGTGGGGGTGTCTGTTTTTGTCAATCAGGTTGAGGGTGGGACAAGATGATCTTGAAGGTCCCTTCCAACCTAGAAGAGTCTGTGATTCTGTGACACACGCCGAACACGGGGTGATGGACCCCCACCATGCTCCTGGCCAAACCCAGCGCTGTCGGCCGGGGCTGGGATTAAACCCAGGCAGATTCCAGATGTGGAGCTGTGAAATATCCGTGGGGGGGAAGCCTGGAAGCCACCGGTGTGCCGTTCCCTAACCGTCGGCGTCACATGGACCGGGGGGTTCCTGGAGGCACGGGGGGGGTGTGGATTATCTGGTCGCCCCCAGAAGCCTGGGGTCTGGGGAAGCTGGTCTGGGCTGTGGGTGAGAGCTGCTTTGGGGGGATTTTGTTCTTCTCTCGGGGTGGGGAGTGGGGTTTGGGGTGTGAAAACCCCCCGGTTTGTCCGTCGTGGCTGGGGAGAAGAGGGGGCTGAGGATGGGAGCTGGTGGGGGGTGGAAAAGGGGCAAAGCCAGAGGGAAAGACTCGCCGTTGGGTAACGCCGGGCGGGAGGATGACTCCGGAGGAGCCGGGGATGAATGAATGGCTCAGCGGGGAGGAAGGTCAGGAGTTGAAGAGCGTTGGAAGGGAGCGAGGACCCCGGCGGTGCCGAGGAGCGGTGGCGGTGGCCGGGGGGGGCTTGGTGCAGTGTGTGTGTGGGGGGGATTTTGCACAACACCCCGGGGGGGCACCAACCCCACCGTGTCCTGCCCGTCCCCGGGGCCCTCGTGTGCTCCTTCCCCTGAGGATTTCTGCCATCCCCGGGGGCCCCTGCTCAGGGTCTCCTTGGGGGGCTCTGTGTGTGCCGGGATGGCTCTGGGAAATCACAAAATGCTTCCCCCAAATTGTGCTGGGTCAGCTGCTTTCATCAGCCGAGTTTGGGGTTCGGGGACACGTGGCAGCTCTCGGCTGGGAGCCCCCCTGTCACCCCCTGAGCTGTGGCTTTGCCTTTCCTCACCCCTGGGTGAGCCCCCCCCCAACTTTCTCCACAGTCCCCGTGGCAGATCCGTGTTTCCCTGCGAGCCTGGAGGTGCTGCAACCCCAAAAGTGGGGACAGAAAAAACCATCTTCCTCGGGGGGGGTAGTGGGGTGAGCTTTTGGGGTGCACAGTTCCGGGGGTCCGAGGCAGAGGGAAGGGGAACGGCTAAAGGATGGAGAAGGGAAGAGTTTACAGGAGCATTTGAGTTCCTGGGGGCGGGGGTCAGGGCAGGCCCTCACGAAGATGGGCTCATCTCCTCGTTAGGCTCATCTCCTCGTTAGGCTCATCAGGGCCTGCCAATTAACTGCTTCAGGTCAGCGAGCCGCTGCGGCAGCTCCGAAACGAGGAGAGGAAACAAAACCAGCGGGGCTCCCGAAACTCGGTTCCGTGAAACGGGTTCGATTAAAGCAGCTCTTAGAGAAAAAAAAAAAAGACCAAAGTTGGTGTGTTTGTCGAATAGCGAGGCACCCAAAGGCCCGGAAACTCTTCGCCAACGTCAAATACTTCGTCTCCTTTGAGTTCTTCACAAGAAAATAAGTCAGTTCTGAAACAGCTCGGGTGGAGACGGAGCCGTCGCCGCAGAGGGGTAGGAAGAAGGTGGAGGTGGGGACAGGAGACCTCTCTGTCCCTGTCCCTCAGGTGGCACCTCCTGGGGCTCTAAGTCCTTCTGTAGATGCTTAACCCCCTCAAAACCAGCCGATAATGGCTTTGCTGGTGTTTTGCTGGTGTGGTGGGGCCATGGCAGATGGTAAGATGGGCTGAGCACCGTGGGCTGCCCGAGACAGAGAAGCCACCAGGACACCCCACACAAGGTGGCATCAGGTCCCCGTCCCTCCCCAGAGCCTGAGGGGAGACGGGGGATATTTTCAGGCCATCCCTTCCCTCTCTGCTCCCCAGAACAGCCCAGATCTCCTCCTTTTCAGCCTCTTTTATTCGGGCACCGGAGGACAGGGTGAAGTGCTCCCGGGTAACTGGGCTGCAGACGGACCAGCCGCCTCTCGCCTGACGTTCAGCTTTCCATTTGGATTCTTTTATTATTTTATTTTTTTTTTTTTAGAGCAAACGAAATGTGACCCAGTATTTCCTGAAATCTCAAAGTCTGAAAAGTTATCAGAGAAGGGGGGGGAAATTGCCGAGGGACCATCGAAACCAGGCGCCGTCTGCTCCCCTGGGGTGGGATGGTGCTTCATCTCCCACCCTCCCGGGGCTCCCAGTTGCTGCCAGCGGGCGTTACTGGGGGTCCTGGTGGCAGCCCCCGGGGGGAAAATCCCTGTCCCTGTGTTGGAGGGTGATTTTTCAGAGTGGGGGGGATGACAGCGATACCCCCCGGGGGAGCTCTGGGCTGTGCAGGGGTTCACACTCTCCTGGCCCTTGTGTCGGGGAGGAAGGGGGGGGGAGCTGAGGGTCAGCTCCAGGCTGAAGGACATCGGGGATCCTTTGGGATGAGGGGGATCCTTTGGGATGGGAGGGATCCTTTGGGATGCGGAAGGTGAAGCCAGCTGGCAGAGGAGCTGAGCCTGGAGCTGGGAACGGGACGCCGTGCCCTGCCTTTGTGCTCAAAGGAACTGAGGAGAAATTAATAATAATTTTTTATTTTTTTTTCTCCTTGATGTTTAACTTAAATTCTGGGCTTTTTAGCCTTTCTCCAATACATCGGGGGTGGGTGGCAGCTGAGACCAGGCTGTAAAACGGGGTTCTCCCTGCAGCCAGCATCGCCCGGGTGCTTTGTTAGCGAGCCCAGAGCTCGCCGGGGGGGATGTTCAAGCAGCCCCGGGGGGGAGCCGCACGCCGAGGTAAGCTCAGGGGGAAAACCTGCCAAAAAAACTCCCCCAGGGAGCGCGGCGTCGGACGGGGATGTGTTTGTGGTTGCTGGGAAGGTGTGAGGGGCTCCGACGTGCTCCGAGTCGGGGGAGTTTAAGGTGAGATGCTCCTGGGGTTGAGGAGTGATGCTTCATCATCCTCATCCCTGGTGGATGCAGGAGGGTCGGAGCCCATGGCTGACTCCGGGGGACGCCGCCGTCCTCCCTCGGGTCCTGGGGGGCCTCTTTCCCACTGGAATTTTATCTTGGGAAGAGCTGAGACCCCGCAGCATCCCCGCTCCCCCCCCTCCACCTCCTCTCCTTCCTCAGAGCATCGTCCCCTCCGGCGCGGCTCCCTGCTCTCCGAAGGGTTCCCGCTCGCCGTGCCGAGCCGTGCCGAGCCGTGCCGAGCCGTGCCGAGCCTCCTGACTGTAAAATGACGGTCGTTTCCCTCGCTTCCAGGAATCTGCTCTTCCTGGAAGGTGAGTGGCTGCGTGCGCCCTGCCAGCGACGCAGACATGCACACGCAGCCTGGGCTCCAGCGCTGTTTCCAAGGAGTTGGCTGTGATAACACTCCAGGGTATCTCCAGCAAGGTAGAATAATGCGAGTTAAACGGGAGGCTGGGGAGGGAAAAGGGGGGGG